ATATATATATTTATATATTAGTGTGTGTGTACCTGTTTTTCTATTCTGGTGGGGACTCAAATCTGAATACACACAGACTCATGGGGACTCATGTCACGGTGGGGACCTAAATTGAGGTCCCCATGGGTAAACAAGCTAATAAATCACACAGAATGAAGTTTTTTGAAAATCTAAAAATGCACAAAGTTTCCTATAAGGGGTAGGTTTAGGTGTAGAGCAATATAATATACGGTCTGTACAGTAGAAAAACCATTATGCCTATGGAGAGTCCCCACAAGGATAGCAAACCAGACGTGTGTGTGTGTTTGTTTGACTACAATTGGACTGCCAAAAGTAATTTTTGAATTTCAATCAGAAAATATGTTGTTATTTTCTAAGATAACCTGATGCCCTTCACATGCAGGGTCACGTGACAATAAAGCATACTACTGTTTGAAATATTTATTATTGTGTAATGAGGGCTTGCTGAAGAGCAGAAGCAGTTTTGGCAGTTCATAAAAGTTGCTTTGGGTCTTTTGTTGACCCCTTTTGGTCAGTGAGTGAACTGCAGTATTATTCTATTCAATTGGAGACTATGGTATGTAGCCTTTTCTTAATCCTAAGAAAATATCTTATGTAATGTAATTCATGTATTACTTTAGGTAAAGATTCCTGTAGGATTGTGTGTCTTTAAATGGCACAATTAAATGCATGAGAAGAACAGCATAGTCAAGTCTTAGTACATGAATGCAAAGAGGAAAATACAAGGTCAGCCTTCCCTATAGTCTGGAAATTTACAGCAACGCGCTAAGGCACTTATATGAGAGAGAGTAGAGAGGTGGCAATTTCAATTGATTGATTCTTGATAGTAATAAATGTTATATATTTCTCCCTGTCTGAGCATCTACGTAATATAAGCTGCTTCAAGAGTTTCAGACATTCCTTCGTATAACAATATGTCTTTGAGAGCGCTGCAAGTTCTGTACTTCATCTAAGCCAAAGTCTGGGGCTGGAACCAGAGTTCCTCGGGGTTGAAATAAGCTCTGGAAACTGCAGAGCACACCAGGCTTTTATTGTCTCATATTGAGGAAGCAGAGAGAAGTAATATCGCTTTCTCCCAGGATTCTGCTGAAGTGTGCCTCTCTCCTGTTTAATCTCACTGAACCTGGAAGCGAAGTGTGTGCGTGTGTGTTTATGCCACATTTGTGTATGTGGGCTTTATTATTAACCTATTGAAAGCCACGGAGGCCTTAACTTAGTGAAATATATCTTTCTTATAATTAACTGTTGATGAAAATGAGTGTTCAGATGTGCATTTTAATCTGTTCAAGCTCAGATGGAGCAGTGGGGAGTCTCACATATTTCAGATTTAATTTTTAATATAATTATCATTAATAATAATAATGTCAGAATGCAAGTAATTGATACTATCTCCATTACATTGATGTGCTCAATGCCAGTCTGTAATATTTAGTTAAATGGTCAAATGAGACACATTAAGTGAGTAAATGAGACTCAGCAGACACTGTTGGAATAAAAACCTTAGACATAAAAAGTGAATAAAATAGAAGAACTCCATCTATCAGCATCTGTTTTCGGTGAAAAACATTTAAAAATGGGACTTAACCTCTGTTGTATCACCTTCACGCAAAAGTGCATCTTAGGTTTTGAATATCATAATATGTCAAAGTCAAACTGGGATTTTTCACTTTTATGTAAAAGCATGATACGCTTCTTGAACCGCTTACTCTTGTCATATTTCCAGGCAATGTAGCAATTTCCAAAGTGGGGACACCAGCTCATGTCTTCTAATCTGAATATACATGAAGAGGGCAGCCAGTCAAAGTGTAGTTTGTCAGTATTGCTTTTATTTGCTTTTTGTTGTACAAGAAAAGCTGTTTGCACGGGAGAGAGAGAGTCTCAAATTGACAACAGGAACAATTGCTGACTGAAGAACAGAGAGAAAGTAAATTGTATTTCAGGGAAGAAATTGACCTATTAACTGTTTCTTAGAAAGTACAGGGCCATGCAGTAACTGTTGAAAAGTTTTAGTAGACAAAACAAAAAGAGGTAAACAAAATTTCATAAATAGCTAAAATCATCTTTGGTAACAATGACAGAACTATAAAAAAACAAAATTAATCTGAACCAGGAAGAGACCATATATATATATATATAGAGTATCTCACAGAAGTGAGTAAACACTCCTCCATGACGACATCACGGAGCTGGTGGATGTTAGAGACACTCCTCCACCTTCCGTTTGAGGATGCCCATGCTTGGCCATCCATCACCTTTACCCTCAGCTTCTTTAGCAAGACAGTGGTAGTCTTGGAGGTAGGGCTGCACGATAAATCGCATGCGATATTTAACGCGCATCTTATCAGTAAAGCCGGTTCTGTAATCAGCGGTAAATGAGCGGTGAACGTGGTTTTGCGCAGCTCGTCAGTGAACAACGGCTCTGTGTATATAGTTTTATAAAAAAACAATTTAAAGTAAGTGTATTTATATATTCTTTTATAATTTTTTATTGTGTTTTTAATATTTTTTTTTTAGTTTTAGAAAAAAATACCATTTCAGCAATGCAGTCTGCATTTAACCAATGCAGTCATGGTAACTGACACAGAGCGAAGATGTTTGTGATACAGTAGGACCATATTTCCACATTGAGAATTTGAAAATGATTTATAAACGAAAATTATTCATACATGCTTGATGGATCATTGACACACCCAGCGGGTGAAAAATGCCCGTGTCTGACATCTTTAAACCATGATCAGGCTGTGTAAAGTCAATATCAAGAGATCCTTCATGAAATATAGCATACACTTGACAGCATACTAAATATAACATGCTATAGTTTGTGTTTTGGTGGTGATACTGAGTCCAAGGTTATAATTCACCATACTGTAGGTTGGCTATCAGTGCTATCATTGGCTACGGTAGCACCCTGATGAGTGAACCTTATAGTAGACAGAATGTTGATTCTCATGTGAGCAGCTCTGAGAAAAACTGATTACGTTTATTCGCATTTACTAAACCCTAGCCG